CCTGCCTCCCAACCTCTTGGGTGGGAACCCCCATGTGCCCCCCCATCAAGGCTGGGACCCCCCATGCCTCTCCCTGGTGCAGGCTGGGACACACTTGTAACACCCGTCCAGGGTGGGGAGAAAGAAGCAGGTTCAGTTGGTGCCAAGGCTGGCGAGGGTGATGCAGACTGTTGCCCCCCAGCCAGCTGGAAGGAGACTTGGGTGCGAGCTCCCAGGGTGGGGAGAAAGAAGCAGGTTCAGTTGGTGCCAAGGCTGGCGAGGGTGATGCAGACTGTTGCCCCCCAGCCAGCTGGAAGGAGACTTGGGTGCGAGGGGACCTGCTGAGGGGGCACTGGGGGTACCCCCAAGGCTTTGTCCCACCTTTTGCACTTTTCTTGCTTTGCACCAAGCTGAGCTCCAGTTGTCTCTCCACATTCAGGGATGTGGATGGAGACAGCAGAGGGGGTGCTTTGCCTCATGCCTCAGTTTCCCCAGTAGTCACTGGGGGACATGGGGGTAAGCATGGAGGGGGTCAGGAGTCACTCCGTGAGGACATGGGAGCCACCTCCAGCTGAACTCCCTCCATGCTGGATTTCCTGTTGTTTGGACCAGCAGTGAAAAACAAGACATCAAAACAAAGCCAGGCCAGGCTAGGAGTCCCTTCATCTTGCTATTTATTCCAGCGTAATCTAATTAAAGCAACAGGAAATATGCTTTCTCACAGCAACTGGACATCTTTAAAAAGAAACAGCACAAATAAAAACTCCGCAGGGCAGGTGAAGGAGGGGGCAAGGGCAGCAGAGGCCAGGCTCCATGGCCGGAGGCACCGGGAGGGATCTGCCCCAGCAATCTGTGTACCTGCCCCCTTGCTGAGATGCTGAGTGGCAGCTCTCACAGAGCAAAGGGGCATGTGGAGGTTCATCTGAGATCTCCCGGAACAGGAGCTGCCACCCTGCCATTCATCTCCCTCAACACTCTGGAGAGCAGTGCTCAGGTCTGGCCCCTCTGCACAGCATTTCAGGAGCCCACCCATTGCTGTGGGGGGTGGTCTGTACTGCCTTAAGCGATGGGGCTGGAAGGGACGGTCACAAACGCAACTGCAGATCTTTGCTTTCCAGCATGGTCTAGACCTCTGCTGAACGCATGAAGTGCTGTGGAAAAGCACACTGGCAGGGCAGGGTGGGCGCAGGAAGAAAGGAAAGCGCTGGAAGAGTATTTCAAATACTTTATTTTTTTAAAATTCCCAGTTAAAAACACAATGGCCATGCCTTTCTGTGGGTAAGAGGCACAGCCCCTGCCCCCAGCCCTGGCTGGCCCTTGGCACCATTCCTTGAGTGGGCAGCTCAGAGGCTGTGCTCCTGCCAGGAAGGCAATGCAGCCCTGGGCTACAGCTGGGGAAGGTCCACAGCTCTGGGCAGCCCCTCTCTTAAAAAACGTTTAAAATCAGTTGTGAGAATAAAGTTTGCGGTGTTAAAAGAGGAAAGAGAAGGGAGCAAGGGAGGCTCTGCTGGCACTGGAAGGCTGTGGCTGAAGGGCCCACACTCCTGCTTGGGGAGAGCCACAGTGCTTGTGGTGTGCAGTAGCGTTTCTTCTTTAAAGAGAAAAAAATCAACCAACCAATAGTATTTTCTTCCAAATTTCCCCCACAGCCATGAACTTCACCAGCTGCTCACATAAACATGCCATCTTCCCCACTGGAAACGCTCTTGCAGAAAGCTGAGCCTTCCTTCTCCGCTAAACAACATGCTTCAGATTCCCTGCATAAAAGGAGGCAGAAAAAGGTAGTTCTACTGATATTTCAGCCTGATGGAGTGGCCTGGCCAGGGGCAGGAGTGCCACCCCTATGCCTGGCAGCGATGCAGGAATCCCAGCCTCAGCGCAGACCTGGTCCCCGCTGGCCCCTCACTCCCTTCGCAGATGCTGCTGCCCTCCTTGGAGCCAGACTTGGGGAACTACCAAAGGGAGACCCTGCCACTGCTTCCATTACAAGTTTCTCCTGCAGGCTGATCGCTGGTTTGGGATTCACGGGCCAGCACCAGAGGGGCACACACTCACTCCCTGCTGCCTTGTCCCTCCTCCGGGCTGGATGCGCTGCCAGGAGTGCACAGCATAGATCCCCCACTTCCAGCTCTGGAGCGATGCTGTTCCTCCTCCCCTCCTGGACAGGTCAAGGGGGATGTCCTCTCCTTAGGACTGGCCTGTGCTTAGGAATGGACACCTGTCCTGGGACAACACCCCAGGGCATCCATGGCCATCACATCTCCAACTTGCCTCCTACTCTGTTTCTAACACCAACACATCACAACATGCACACGGATTGAAAAGGGCTGCTGAGCCCCATCTTGCTGCACCCAGCTCCTCCTGGGGACAGGGAAAAGACAGATGGGCAAAAGCATTGAACAAAGGTGGCAGCAGCTGGCAGGGCTCACCCAGCTGCCTGTCCTGGACTCCAACAGCTTTCAGTCTTCTGCCTGGCTAGAGGACTGTTTCAGCTCCTGAGGAAATGCAGGGAGATCAGATGGGGAACCATCTTCCATTGACCTCAGGCAAGCCCTGGCCCTGCACACAGCTCTGAGCAAGGTGGCTCTGGATCTGCCCCAAGGGCTGATGGAGGGATACCAGTGCTGCAGGAGCCGGCCCCAAGGATGCTACACATGCTCCTGCCAAAGGAGGACCAGGGTCTCTCATTAGGCCTGAAATAACAAAGAGTACCTGGGGCTTTGTGGGACTCCAGGCAAAGCACTTGGCAACTGACCCTCAATTCTGGAGCAGCTAAGTGTGCTGGAGAGCCTGCAGGCTGGGCTGGCAGTCCCTGTCCTCTCTCTGCCACTTCCCCACCCACAATTTCCCATTAGACATGGTGGTTCACATACCAAGCAGATGATAAAGACTTTTACTGTGCGCCACGGGACTGGATGCTCCACACTCGCACTAACTGCTCTGCGTGGCAGCTGCAGCCATGGTTGCTGGAGCTGGAGAGGATGGAAAGCCCAGCAGCTGCCAACATAGCCAAGCAGGCAGCAAAACAGCACTGGGAGTCAACAGTCAAGAGCAGGAGCCACAGCTCTGCTGCTGCCAGTCTGTCCAGCAGCCTGCTCCATGCCCAGCAGGCCCGTTCACCGAGCACTGGCAGTGCCACAGCCCCCTGTGCGGCCCAGGATAGGGGCCGCAGTTCTGCCTTGCTTCATCCACCAGTGTTTCACTGCCAAGGGGAACAAACCCTCCTTGCTCCACTCACTTCTGCTGCTTCCAGCTCTCCCACTCTAAGTGCAGTGGAAAACTCACTGCAGGGAAAATCAGTCCTGGAAAGCACTGGGCTCTTGGACTAGCCTCTCTGTGGTGGCTGGGGAGGAAGGAACGGGGCTTTTCTCCACTCTCCCCTCTGCCACAGGCATGAGTTTTCATCACAGTGGATGGTGCAACAGAAAGAACACCATTATCCAGCACCTAAGCTTCCTGTTCTGTTTCAGCCACTCATGACACTGGCTGGGAAGCCTTTGGGTGCTCACCCACAGGTCTGGATCTGCATGGAAGGCATCCTGGCCACCACAAAGGAAAATGCAGAATGGCTTTGGACTAGTTGAGCACTGAGTGCAGGGCTGACCAAGCTTGGGGTCTCAGACCCCTTCTCAAGCAAACAAGCAGCCCATCTGGGGCACAGATCAAGCTCATGCCAGCTGGTCCCCAAGCACACATCTGGCTTCTTTGAGAGGTACTCTCAGGGAAGACAAAGATATCTGGGATCTATCTGCCTCCCTTCCTCCCCTACAAATCCATGGCTACTAAATCTTTTTCCTTCCACAAGCATGGAAGCTTTCCTAGGCACAAAACACACACTCCCATCAGATCCAGCACTTGCAGTGGCTGTGGCACTGCAGCTGCTTCAGGAATGCGCAGGGACATTACTAGCAGAGATAGAGATGGGATCATCCTACTCTACTCAGCACTTGTCAGCCTCACCTGAAGTACTGTGTCCAGTTCTGGTCCCCACAAATCAAAAAAGATATGGACAGACTGGAGAGGGTCCAAAGGAGGGCCACAAAGATTACCAAAGGGCTGGAGAACCTGCCCAGCGAGAAAGGCTGATGGAGTTGGATCTCTTCTCCCTGGAGAAGAGAATGCTTATGGGGACCTCATCACAGTTTTCCAGTACTCAAAGGGCAGCTACAGAGATGACAGATGCTCCTCTCTTCACAGTGAGCCACATGGAGAGAACAAGGGGCAATGGGTGCACCAGGAGAGGTTTCACCTCATTATAAGAGAGAAAATTTTTACAGTGAGAACAATCAATCATTGGAACAACCTCCCCAGGGACATGGCACAGTCCCCATTGCTAGAGGTTTTCAAGATGCGACTGGACAGGGTGCTAGATGTCTCATCTAGGCTCCCCTTCCCATGAAAGGCTGGACCAAAAGATCTCTGAAGTCCCTTACAACCTGGGCTGTTCTATGATTCCAACAAGGACAAGGCCCCATGCTCCTCTGCCCAGCCAGAGAGGCCATGGCAACTTTTGCTAACAGAGACCTACAGCTCTGAGCTGATGTGCTACTAACACTGAGAAATCCAGGTAAAGCAGGAGACAGATGACGTTGTACACAATGAGCAGTCAAATGAACGTGGTCCATCCTTCTAGTCAGCAAGAAAGACTCCCCCGTAAGCCGGAAGCAGGAGGGTTGGCTTGGACAACTCACCTTTGACAGAGTTCAGAATTTCTTGAATTCTCTGTGGCTCATTGCGGTCTGGTCTGCAGCTTGGTGTGATCTCCAGCACATAATCAGGACCATACTCTGTGAAGAACTGCAAGAAAGAGGAGAGGAGAGTCAGCAGAGAGGTCTCTGGCTGGCTAAGACTGGAGGGAGGGCTCCCCATGGGTACTTGTTTGTAAAAAGGCAAAAACATTTTCTCCGTCTGAGAGGCACAGAAGTGTTTCTGCAGTGTGTGTGCCCACCTGAAGTTTGCAACCGCTACCAACTCAAGGGGCTTGAGAAGCAGAGCTCAGTGGTGCAGCCAAAAGCAGTCTCCTGTCTATCCTAACACTTCATTTGTGAAAGCTGTTTACACTCATTTTACACATGGTTACCTGCAAACCTGATTTTTTAATGAACAAAATACAAGTGCTGCCTATTAGATATCATTCCTTTCAGCTCCCCACCCCACCTTGCAGAGCACTCCATTGATATGACTGTGAAACACCCAGAAGGAGAAAGATCAGTGTGCTTCAACGTTAATAATGTGTCTTTCCTGGCTGAGTGCTCCAATAGGGTGCAGCTGAGCCTGAATGAGAAAATCTGCAGCACGTGGGCTCTACAAGACAATGCAAAATTATTGCCAGCAGTTTTATTTCACAAGCATGCAGTGCTGAGCAAAGAAGCAGACAAACCAGGGTTAAAAATTCAGCAGTGAAATTGCAGTTGGTCCTGTTGCTACCTGTAGACAGCTTCACCCTATGGAGAGCTAGTCCAGACTTAAAGATATTGTTTCAAAGATAAACAAATTCACAGCATTATAGTCTTCCAAGCGATTAATGGTGAGCCATCCTCTGTGTAATTATCCGAGACTAGAGTTTATTGATGTCTGAGATCCCTTGCAAAAAGAACCAGTGTTGGAGACTGATTATAGAGAAGATTGATTGTGACTACAGAATAGAATAAAATCATAGAACTAGAACATAGACTCAATTGTGTGAATACAGGAGTGTTAAGAAACCATACGACCATGGAATGCTGCTCTCGATTGTCCCCTGTACAGCCCTTACTATGACTGGGTTAGAAACGATTTTCTAAGATGGATGAATTTTATGATCTCAAAATGGAGCAATAAACAATAAGGTCAACATGAAAATGGGACTAGCCACGGATGGAAAATCAAGAACTGTCTGCCAACTAAGAAGAAAAGAAGAACTGAGAAACTGATGCAAATTTCTAGGTGGATTTTGGTGCTTATGTAAGCATTATTGAAGGGCATGTAATGTGTGATGATTTTGTTTGGAGCTGCCACTCACTGAGGTGATGGCCCAACTCCGAGTTGTGAATAAAGCAATACCTAGTGTAACCCACTCGTGTGACAGTCAAATCTTTAACACGCAGACAACCTCAGGTCTCGGGAACAAATACCCACTATGCTGCTAGGACAGTGCATTATTGTTACAGGAGTGCCTCAACAAAACAGTACTGAGCAGCAAGGATGCCACTGGGATTAGGTAGAACGACTCGGCTCTCACGCAAGGAGATGGGAGGGTTTGTCAAAGCTTTACCTCATGATCGGGGATCTCGGAGGACAGTGTTCTCCCAAGGATGACCCCAGTCAAGTAGGTCCAGCAGCGAGCTGTGTTGGCAAGGTTGTAGCCTCCTGTTTCCAGCAAGAATTGTGATTTTGGAGGGGGAAGAGTGGGGAAAGGGAAGAGAGAGGGAGAGATTTTAGTGGAAGGAACAAATCGCGGAGGCAACATGTGCAGTTTACATGAACTCAGCTTATTTCACCCAAACAAGCTGTGCCCTAAAACGGCATTTTACATCTGCTGGCTACACAAGCCAAGGTCCAAACGACACTATGCAAGGGCAGACCTGCCAAACTGAACCCCAGTTACACCCAGCGTGGCACAGGCCAAGCTCCTCCAGCCACTGTCTCAGACCCAGCACAAGCCTCCGGCCTCAGGCACTAGGCTCTCTACTGGCAACAACAAGGGATGTTCAAAGGTAACAGGGAGACAAATGCAAGGGCAGCAGTGGAGATGAGGGACTCCTGCTTTTTAGTGCCAGCCTTCAACCCATAAAGCATAATACATATGCCCAGCCATTTGCTGGTGAGCTCTTCAGCACTGAGATATTTGAGAGGACAAATAAGAAGCTTATTAGTACAACTTGCAACTGCTTTACAAGTAAATGAGGTTTCACAATCAGTATGGTAATGGTCACCTCCGTAATACTGGTACATGAGCCCACCAGGAGAAGTGTTAGCTGAAAGCAATCCTGCAAGAGACTCGGAAGGTATTTCCAGCAAAGACGACTCCAACAGTAAGAGCGAAAACCACTTTGAAAAGAAGACCATATTTTTCAGTGTTCCTTTCTCTTTGGGTTGTTTGGTGGTTTTTTTGTGTGTGGGAGGGTTTTTTTGTCGTTCCCCCACCCCAGTATTGACTCCTCCCCCAATTTCCACTTCAAATGCTTCCACAAGTTGCAGTGGAGAAGTGACAAACAGTTGTCCCTCATTTTTTGACAAACATTTTGGGGTTTCTTTTTGCCTGAAAGGTGCCATCCCCAGCACACCCATAGACATGCCACAGCAGGATTGAACACTCATAACCTTTCCAAAAGAAACTGCATTAGGCACATCAAATTTTACGCTTAACATGCGATACCTGACCTCTCACATCTCAAAAAGGACACAGCTAGAGCTCATATGGCTCCAGGCACAGAGCTGGGGGACTCTTCCTAGCACGCAGTGGCTTTTGTTGTTCTGAAATGCTCTGTTGCATAAAGCCTGTGCTGTGCTTTTCTCGATGGACAAGCAGCTGGGTATGCAGCATGGCAGAGCTAAGTCAACCTTAGCTTTTGCTGGGTATCAGAGCCCTGCTGTACTGTGCAGACAGACAGTCCTTTTCCCAAGTCCCTGCTTGAATCCAAACGGAATTATTAATTACCAGATGCCCAAGGCAGGTTTGGGAACACAGTGCTCACTTTTAAAGAGAAGCACTGAAGGGCTGATCTGCAGAGATGGGAATCTGAGGTGCCATTGAGAAGCTAGGGTCAGTTCATCACGGTTAACAGCCTCTGCTCTTCTCTGGAGGAGCCAAGCAGCCTTTAACTCAAGATCTTAGGGTCAGAGTTAAGACTTGCATCTGTTAGCATCAAGGATTTCAGGTCTGTGTGAAAACAGTACTGCACTAGAGTGCCCTCCTGATGCTGCCCAGCAGACACCCTGCTGACCTCCAGTCAGTGCCTAGCCCAAGGGCACACACTTGAGGAAGGGGTCACAGGAGGACAAACCCGTTTCCTTGTGAACAGCAGGATGGCCGTGCACTCACCTCCTCCCAGGATGAGAGTTGCTAGCTGCCACTGCAGGACGTACTTCAGGCATTTGCCTACTCCCTCAGGCGTCATGTTGAAAGAGCACATGGGATCTCCAGCAATGGTGTCTGCCCCCAGCTGCAGTACAACCGCGTCCGGGTTGAACGCGGCATACACCTCCTTCAGCACGCTATGGGAAGAAGTGGGAGGAGTTACTGCAGACACAGCTCAGAGGGATGCTGGTGGCAAAGCCCTGGTCCCCCAGATCTACTGATGCCTCTCAAGGCTTCTGCATTTTCTGCTCCCACCCCCTTCATACCAGTTATACTCTCTCTGCTCCCAGTTGGCCTTCTGCCTCCGCTACTCTCCTGCAGTAAGTTTAGCTCTCAACATGCTCACCACAAGGCTGATGAAGGCAAAAGCATCACTGAGAACGCAGGGGAGGGGGATCTAGTCCTAATCAGCTTAGTAGTAGCACCAAGCCACGCATTTACACCGGCTGCCCGGAGTGGAAGGGCTGCAAGCCAAATCGAGGGGCTTTTCTCCCCTGTAAAAGTCACAGTTAAAAGCATGGTCTGGCAAAATAACAATCCTAAACTCTCAGACACTTCCCACCAGGACAGAACGAACAGAGGAAGGGTCTGTCTAGGTTCTCACCCTCCCCTCTCCCATATGGCTCTTGAGGCAGAAATACATTTCCCCCTGGCTCTAGTGGCTGCTGGGGTGCAGGGCCCGTGTCCTGGAGACAGTTTATTAGAAGTATTCTCTCTTGCAGCAGACAACTGGGCGTGTCAGACACCTAGCTTTGCTCCAGGACATTTTTAGTATTACAAACACCACAAAGGGAATAATCCCACTGACTGGAAAGGGGGAAACATAACCTCCATTTTTAAAAAGGGAAAAAAAGAAGACCTGGGGAACTACAGGCCAGTAAGTCTCACCTCTGTGTGCAGCAAGATCATGGAGCAGATCCTCCTGCAAATGATGCTAAGGCACATGGAAAATACGGAGGTGACTGGTGACAGCCAACATGGTTTCACTAAGGCCAAATCGTGCCTGACCAATGTGGTGGCCTTCTACAACGGAGCTGGTAGAGAAGGGAAAAGCAACTAACTTCATCTACCTGGACTTCTGCAAAGCATTTGACACTGTCCCACACGACATCCTTGTTTCTAAATTGGAGAGACATGGATTTGATGGATGGACCACTCAAAGTACAAGGAATTAGCTGGATGTTCACACTCAAGAAATCGCGGTCAACGGCTTGATGTCCAAATGGAGACCAGTGACAAGTGGTATTCCTCAGGGGTCAGTATTGGGACCAGCACTGTTTAACACCTTTGCTGGCAACATGAACAGTGGGACTGAGTGCACCCTCAGCAAGTTTGCCAATGACACCAAGCTGTGTCGTGTGGTTGACATGTTGGAGGGAAGGGATGCCATCTGGAGGGAACACTGATAGTGTTGCAAGGTAGGCCTGTGTGAACCTCACGAAATTCAACAAGGCTAAGTGCAAGGTCCTGCACGTTGCTCGGAGCAACCCCAAGCACAAATACAGGCTGGGTGGAGAATGGACTGAGAGAAAACCTGAGGAGAAGGACTTGGGGGCGTTGGTTGAAAAAAAACTCAATGTGAGCTCACAATGTGTGCTCCCAGCCCAGAAGGCCAACGTGTCCTGGGCTGCATCAAAAGAAGTGTGGGCAGCAGGGCAAGGGATGTGATTCTGCTCCTCCGCTCCGCTCTGGTGAGACCCCCCCCGGGAGTCCTGCGTCAAGCTCTGGAGCCCTCAGCACAGGAAGGACATGGACCTGTTGGAGCAGGGCCAGAGCAGGCCACAGTAATGACATGAGAGCTGGAACCCTTCTGCTGTGAGGAAAGGCTGAGAGAGTTGGGGCTGTTCAGCCTACAGAAGAAAAGGCTTCAGGGAGACCTTCTTGCAGCTTTCCAGTACATGAAGCTGCCCTACATGAAAGCTGGGGCGGGACTTTTTACAAGGGCATGTAGGGATAGGATCAGGGGCAATGACCTTAAACTAAACAAGGGTAGACTTAGACTGGATATAAGAAAGAAATTCTTCACTGTGAGGGTGGGTGAGGCACTGGAACAGGATGCCCAGAGAAGCTGCGGATGCCCCATCCCTGGAGCGTTCAAGGCCAGGTTCAATGGGGCTTTGAGCAACCTGATCTAGTGGAAGGTGTCCCTGCCCATGGCAGGGGGGCTGGAAATAGATGATCTTTAAGGTCCCATCCAACCCAAACCATTCCATGATTCTATGTATAATCCTGTTCCCAGCACTGTGCTCCAAATCCCAAAATACAAGGCAAATAATGGTGAAAAACATGTTCCTTTCACAACATGTTTTTATTTTGCTACACTAGAAGCAGATGTGATCCCTGGAATAAATGCTTTTGCCTTGGTTAAAAGAACCTAAGCATTGCCTGCTTTTATTTGACATGAAACTAGAAACCACTGCAGCACCAAACCAGAGAGCTGCTTCTCTGTGACAAAAAGCTTGCATTTACCAGTACTCACCCCAAGAAACTTACACAGTCACTGCATCCAGACAAGAAATCCCACTGAGCTGGGTGCCGTCTGCCAAGGCCAATGCCTTCAGGGCTGAGGTCATCAGCTCTACAAGCACCACAAATTCACTACTGAAATACAGGTACTGCTGGCAAAAAACTTGACTAGTGATAAGAAAAACTCTAGAAAAAACCTCCCACCCCTCAAGACCAAATATGTGAGCCTGCAGGAAAACAGGATTTCCATTCAGTATGCGTATTCACCCCAGGTATGGCAGCACAGCCTGAACATGCCAAGAGCCTGGCCCCAGCACCCCAGGTACGCAGCAGAGCCAGGTAGCTGACAGCTACTCACTCCACACCACTCACGTTTTGACAGCTAGCAGGCCATCTTGTCCACACAGTCCCACCAAGCTAGGCAAACTGAGGCAGATGGCGAAAAACACAGTGCCAAGGAAAGAGCGATCAAATTAGCATGAACTTCCTTCTTGAAGTGGACCCAAAGTCAGCCTCGCTTCTGCAGATGTCAAGGACAGGATGGACAAGAGGGGCTTCCACCTCTATCCAAGGCCTACATTGTACTACCCTTCCCTGAAGTAAGGAGGACTGAACTGGCTTTCTTCAAACACTGTACAGCTTCTTGACACTGCTGCTGGTGAGGGCTTTTGTTGCCTGCACTCAGCCCTTTGCAAGCACATCTACATCCTGTGAGCTGTCTCTGGGGCCTTCTTCCCCCATCTCCCTTGGACACGTTTCTCCACTTTTGGTAGACTGGCAGCCAACACTGCCCAGTTCAAACAGCTCACTTTTTCCCTAGGAAGCTTCACATTCATGGATCCACCAAAAATGGGCAGATGGATGAGAAATAACATTGATAGAGGAAGGTTTATCTCTCGCTAGCAAAGACTGGGGGTCCCTTGCCTCCTCACCGACCTCATTCTGCAAGGACAGCCACTTCCACCAAAACACAATCACTATCACGAGTCCTTCTACTATTTCCCCAATGAAACTCACCTCATGCCAAGGCTCCCTACTATTTCTCAGCAAGGTCTCCCAGCGAGGACAGACAAGAGTCTTTTAGCCCATCCCTGCAGGTTTTCGCTGGCTGCATGAGGAGTTTTAAACAAAATTCATGCTCCCAGGGCTTTTCTTTTCCAAACCACATTGCAGACATTACCTAAATGACAAACATCTTGACACAACAGCATTTGTCTGTAGCTGCTGTGATCTGTGTTAATGTATAAGGGTAACTTCACCCCCTTCTTGCCCCATGCCGTGCTCAGGAACAGAGTAATTCTTTCTGGTGTTTTAGGAAATCAGCAAAAGGTCTGCTCTGCAGTCTCAGCCCCATCCAGATGTTGACAGTCTCTCACAAGCATGCAGGCTACAAGCTTGAGCTGATGATAAAGCCAAACTGACCACACAGCAGCAGGTAGTCCCTTCCACCCATTCTTTCCAGCCTCTTCCTTTTGCTTATGATGGAGCTGCTCTGATCCCACCGTGCGCAGTTGCAGAGAGCCGAACTAGTAGAAAGTTGCTTAGTAGGGTTACTTTTCTGCTAGGGTAACTCCCTGAACTGGTTCATGGCAAGGATAAGAGGGGAAAGGAGTGGGCAGCCAAGGATGAGGCAGTGGGAACAGGACTCTTCTCCCCATCTGGCAGCATCCCTCAGGTAGACCAGCTCAGTCATGCTGTCAGAGCTCCAAGCCTGTCTGGGAACTCCCGATACACCTCCCTGCAACAGCAGGCTAATCCCAGCTAGAAAACTGACTTTGCATGAAGATGCATCATGAGCTTGGCAAAGATCTCTCACTGCCTCACAGCTGCGGGCGCAGGAACCTCTGACCTGTGACAGCTGGCTCCAGTGGGATGGTACCCCCACCACTGTGGTCAGGGCATGGTGGGGCCAGCGAGGACCATGCAGTATGGGCTTTGCACTGATTTGGCACATGTGCAAAGGGGATGTTCTGCCCCCTTTCTGTTCCTGAACTAACAAACAAGTTCAAGGAAGTCTCATGAGCAACATCGGGCCACGAAGACATGGTCACCCCAGCAAAGCCCTGTCTGGCCCTGGCAGAGCTGCACTGCTTGCCCTTGCAGCAGAGATGAACAGACATTGCCTGTTTTCAGACTTCTCCAAGCTCTTTTTTCCAGTGGTATTCAATCCACTGCCAGCCCCCGAAGGAAGCGGCTGACAGAGAAGTCACCTTTTGTTTCCCCCTGAATGGTCAGAAGAACAGCTAGAACAGTCAGTGGCTAACAGGCAGGATGCAAGAGAACAGGCTTCTGCAACTGCTCAAGCAAACCCAGAACAGCAGTAAAAATTTCAAGCCCCAGTGAAATTGCCACTGGAAGAGGACCAGTGCCACACTACACTTCCATCGGTGTCAGGAGATGACCAGCAACTAGTTTTCTAGGCAAAAATTTCTAAGTTTACTTTTCTGCATTTCAAATGTTTCTCACATACTGCATTGTTTTTAGTCTTCAAAAGGCTAATATTTAAACTCCACGAAAAGTTACTGACATCTTATCAGAACCAGTTTTGTTCATTAATTTGGGCAGCTTTGGAAGGTGCTCAATCAAATCAGCTATTCTGGATGCTTACAATTAGCCAGACCCATCACGACTTTCTCTTTTGATGGAGAGACAACGCGAGCAGGGAGGCTCCCAGAGGGATCTTAGTGGGAACATGCCTTAGATGCATTTATGCACAAGCAGAGGACGCCACAGAAACTCACAGCATCCAGCTCTGACGCTGTCATCCTCACAGCAGCTCAGAAACTTCCCATCCCTGGCTGTCTTTACGTTCAAAATTTTAAAGACATCACATTTTCCACAAAATAAATAATGCCACACTTTGTCCACCCTTTCCATGCAGCAGCTATTAGTAACAATGTACTTTAATTGGAGCCTGTGTCATTCAGCTTCCAGAAACAAGTGGCAATTATCCATGTGCCACAATACCTTGAAAGCTGGACAGGAGTTTATCTTGTAGAACAAAAGCAATCAAACACAAGCACTGTAATTTATAGAAAGGCAAGTTCAAAGTGCACATGCTCCGAGACGCCAAGAGCAAACTTCCTCCCTGTTCATTTATATCACTGTGCTGCAGATCAGCCTCCACTGAGACTGGGAGGCAGTTGTCCCCGGTACTGAGGGAGGTGAGACTGTTTTGCACAGCATCTTCCTGGCTTTCCACCCTGGGAACGCCTGATCTGGCAGTGCCTCGGCAAGGAGCAGAGGGCTGCCAAGAAGCAGGTCTCCTCTAACCAGTGGGAGACACAGGAGCAGAATACAAGGAAAGGCTCAGCACAGGGTGTAGTCAGCCTACAGAAACCCATGTCGGAGGGAGTCACACGCTCCAATCCCACCATGGGTTTGTGAGGCACAGGCAATCATCCCTAGACAGCAGCCAGATGAGACACCCACAGTCATGCACATGACTGTCTCCCAGCCAGGACAGAACTCTTCCTCTTTGCCCATGAGACCTCACAATTTCTTTGTAGATGCTTTGGTTATATGCAGCTTGGAACCTATGGTAGGCTTTGACATACTTCAGTTGGGAACGCAGGCAACAGGCTACTCCTGACTGGGCTCCTAACCCCTGCTCAGACCCTAAACCTGCCCTGCCTTTTGAAAACATGTTCCCCAGCAGGAAGAGGGCTGTGCTACCACCAGCAGTGACAAGCATCAACAAGCTAGCAGGAGGCACGGCCACAGCATGACTGCACTAACGGGCTACAAGTCCGCAGAGGTTTCAGCCCTCAGCTTTTAGAGCTGAGAGGTGGTTGTGCTACTGTGTCCTGCAGCCCTGCACTGAGGCTCCTCTCCCCTTGAAAAGAACAAGCCCCACAGCCCAGGTTTTGACACGGGCAACAGCTTGTGAGGTCCGTCATTAACTGAGTGACAGAGGACCCTGCTGGGAGGCAGCTCAGTCACTGGCAGATGTCCAGCCTTCAGCCTTTCATTCTTCCAGCATAGACGAAAGGTGCTTGGAAAACACTATTAGCTCAGCCCCAAGCACATCTCCCACAGATGGTCAGGGTTCAGAGCATTTATTTAAAGAAAAAGCACCTAGCCGTAAGTCCACAGCTAAAAAGTACTTGTCCCTTCTCAGTCTTGCCTTAAACACATCAGGCTGACCTGTGGCAAAGAGACCCTCCAGCCACCCACAAATGCCTCTGTATATTCAGTTTGCCTAAGGATTCAGACAAGACCTCTGAGACCTCTTAAGGTCCGTGTTTGTTGTAATCAAAAACTGTTAACAGGGGAAGGGGAAAGCCTTAAGGAAAGGCTGTAATTAAAAATAGTAAATAAAAAAAATCCTTGCAGTCTCTGTTCTCTAAAATCCCATCCAAGTAAAGTGTATCAGAGCAAGAGGGCTTACGTTTCACAGATCTGGTAATATTTCTCATCCTGAATGCCATCTTGTATAGGTACATTCACACTGTAATAGCGACCTTTACCCAGGCCTACATCCGTCACATCGCCAGTGCCTGAAAAGCAGAAACACCCCATGGTTAATTATGAGGGAAAGGTGATCAGCAGCAAGAGAAATGTGTGGGATGTCTCAGATGAGAGCAGAGAGCCAGGACCTTTGGCATGCTTATGGAGAAGTCCACTTGCCACCACCAATAAAGGAGGGGTTGGACAGACCTGGTTCTTGCCCTCTGCCCAACTCTGTCATGCAGCTTTCAAGGGCTGCAGGTGGTCACCCACCTGCCCAGAGCTTAGCCACGACCAGAAAGAGGGAAATGCCAAACCTGTAGTTCTCCCCTCTTTCCTTCTCCTGGGCCAACAGCAGAGGCAGCAGGATACCTCTGCTGGACAGAAGGGATGGGACTTGCCTTTGCTGGGGCCTCGTCCGTGATGCATGAACCTAATTAGCACAAACCTCACAAGTTCAACTTGCCTGGGAAAAATCCTGGTGAAAACTTGTGCAGAGAAACAGTCATGACTTTCGAGGTGAAACTAAAGGCATCTTCAACTCCTACCAGAAAAGAGAAGGGGAAAAAAGCTTTCATACATCATTCACATAAATGACAGTCTAAACACACAAATGAGCCACTCGATAACCACAGGGCAGCAAGCAGAGCACAAACAGAATGAACAAGGCAGAAAACCAGACATGGCTCAATAAATCCATCCTTAATCAGCAGAGACCCAAATTTAATCGCAGCAAAGGTCACAACCGAAATTAATTTCATGGGTCTCATGCTCATCAGTACTGAATGGATCTCAGTATCTCAGGTCAGTGCCCATGTTAGCAGCACTTGCCTGCAATGTTTGGCCTGCAAGGCTGGGGGAGGGACCCAAGCAGGGATGCCTTGACCAGAGCTTGGTTCTGATTAGAACAAGAGCTACTGGGCTCTCACTTTTTCTCAGTGCTGCTGTGTTTCACCACACCCTTTCTTTTTCTTAAAGGCATACTAAAATAGTGGTATTGGGGAAGGAAAAAGAAGCAACAGGAAATAGAAACCAAACGTGGGGTGAAAACAGAACAAAATGAAACGCACCATAAAATTTAGGAGAGCAGGAAATGTCAAATGGTGTTGAAATAACGTCCCTGAAGAAGAGAGCAGTTTCAGCAAGGTCAGCTCTGGCTTTAGACTGCTTCCCTCTTGCACTGTTGGCATTAAAAAATTAAACACCATCAGCAGCCGTTCTGCCGGAATGGCAGATGAGGGACTGTGGGAAGTCCTTGCTGCAGAGCCACTGGCAGAGGGGATTACTGGAACGGGAACATGCTGTTTGTTGCTTTAGGTACAAGACTGCTGCCCAGACCCTCAAGAGAGGTCTGATGAGCAGCACAAGGCAAATCCATAAAGCAGGACAAGGCAGAAATGGACTGAGGGAACCTGACTGCACTGAAAGGTGGCAAAGCCATGGCTGTTGCAGCAGTTAAAGTCCTACTGCCCCGACAGGCCTTCACTTCTCCCCCTGTGTCTGTGCAGCTGTGTTACTTGCAGCCTGCGCTGGGCCTTACCATCCCCATGATGCAAATCCAAATCGATATAAAGGACACGGCCAAATTTCTGACGGAGCCGCAGGATCCCCAAGACAGCGTCATTCAGGTAACAAAAGCCAGAAGCTTCATCTCTGTAAAAACAACGTCTGTGAGGTTGAATATCGCTAACACAGTCGCCACTCATCTTGATGTTGTCACCTTCACTTTGCAAGTCTCCACCTCACAGGAGCACAGAGGAGGATGAAGAGCCCAGCCAAGGCCCATCAGCGACCAAGGGGTGGGTCAGGAGCAGCTCAAAGCACAGCTGGCAAGCACAGAGAATATGACTGCTTGTGCCAACTGTTCTCAACCCTGGGCTTGCTGGTCGCTGGTAAAGCATCAGCTGGCTCTGCTGCAGAGAGGCCCTGACTCATGGGGGGCTTGGCAGGGTACCACTCACCATTTCACTGTCACACGAGTATAACGTTAGCTTTCTGCACCTGAGATATTTTACAGAAGTTCAGAGCCATTTGACTCAAACCCACTCTCTGCCGTCCCTCCTCTCTCCCTGCAGCAAGAGGACGGGCCCCTGGACAGTCCTGCTTGGCCATTTTCCTATGAGTGCTGGACAGGCACAGGCAGGCAGGCACTCCACCCCTGCCATCTGGGTCACAGCTCCCAGGGAGGTTCTGGCAGTCAAAGGCAGGTCCAAGGCAGTCACAACACTCTGCTGCTCTGTTCCAAAGTCTCATGGTATGAAGGTTAAGCCTCTCTCCAAAACAACACTCTCCCCTCCTCCCCAGGAAAATGCAAACAGGGATGCCCCACATGCAGTCTTTTACAATACAGCTCCTAGCCTCAGCCGGAAGAGAGCCCCAGCAGCTATACAGAGGACAGATGTTGCATGGAAAGATTTACCCCTGTTATTTATACGTCAGGGGGCAGCTTCCATATTGCTGGCATCAAAGGAACAAGACAGCTTCTTCATCCCTACTCCAGACTTGCTTCGAAGTCAAGTCCCCGTCACTACTTGGCACTAGCTGTAACACATGATCTCTTTCAAATCTGAGGCCAAGCAGAGCTGGACACCAGCTCAGACAGAAGTGGACTGCTGCAGCTCAAGGCCAGCACTTGGGATTCCCCCCCCCGATCCACACAGCAGAGCTCAGACTGTCGCTGCTGGAAGGGAGGACAGGGCTGGGTCCAGAACCAGACTCAGCACCTTGCCCTCTGCCTCTACGGCATACCAATGAACTGGGACCTTCAAAAGCCCCAGGCGACAGTGGTTACCATTCCTGCCTTTATGACCTTGGAAAGTAACCAAGCCACAAGACAGCAGGTCTTTTTTGACAAAAGGACACGTATTTTGCTAGGACACAGGTTCTAGCACCAGGCATCTGCAGCTGGGTGTCAGTCTGTTGGACCTTCACACTGGACTGGCACCTACCACAACTGTTGTCTGCCCTGCAGCAGACCATGCCACCCCACTGGGCATGACTAGGAGGCTCCTCTGGGATCAGTAAGTATTAAATGCCTTTTTTAAACAGACTGCTTCCCAGAACAGTGCTGATAACAGTGTTGCTGCCACTGAGCCGTGGTAAGACTTACTGTGTTACAGGCATTTTATAAACCATTCAATCAAGATAAAAGAGAATAAAAGATTTTTAAAAAGCCATTCCTCCTGTGAAGAGCAAGAGGGCTCAGCTCAGCCAAACTAAACTCTCTCCTTCCTCAGCCACCCATACCTGAACCCTTATTCAGCAAAGTGCTGACCAGGAAAAGGGTCCCGATGAGACGCTGCCATCACTGAACTTTTCCCACCACTATCACACCTCCAGACTGTCTCTGCCAGGTCAGAAAAGTCACTGGAATAAGAAGAGAAACCTGTGCACTAATGTAAAGTTGTTAGGGTTAGACACACGGTTCATGCCGATTTCTGGGGCTCCCCAGGGAAACAAAATGGCACTGCAACGGCCAGTTTAGCCAGGGACAAGGAAGGGTGCTGTCTTGTCTGCATTTGCAGACAGGCCTCATGTTTTGACAGATGGGGCACAAAAGTTAAAATAAAACATACATCCATGGAAAACTGGAAAGCCATAGAAATAAATTATTTTACCACTACAGAATCACAGAACTCAGGGATGAATTTTTCACTTGCTCTCCTGTTGTTCTGGAAGATCGTTATTGACATTACAGCTCAGAGCAAACACCCACCCCCAGAGCACGTGGAAAACAAGAGGTCAGTCCTGCACTGTTTCAAACCTCTTATTAAGAAACAAAAAAAGCCACACAAAACAATTTGGACAACATGCTGCCACATTCCTATTCTCTTCCAAGTTGCAAGCAACACCAATCGTTTGCCTCTCCATAGCCCTTCTCTAGGGACTTTGCAAAATCAACTCTCACTTGAACTCCAGAGATAACCAAGTATCAACTGAACATATCTGCCCCAGACCTGCACTGCAGTCCATGATAGCACCAGCACTGGGCAGTCACCAGCCTACTCTCAGGCCTCTGTCATACACTCTGCTTCTTTCCTGTCTAGCTCCTGCCATCCCTCACATCTTGCTCTCTCTTCCAGCTGTATCGCCAGACCCTGAGGGTCTGTAGGGAAGCTGGGAGCTAGGAGGCCAGGTTCAGACACCAGGTGAGAAAACACAAGGGAAGAGACTGTGTTCTTACTTCTTTGCATGATGCCACCCTCCAGGCCAGTTAATTGCTACCTTGCACTTGCCGTCCAGCAAGCACTGGGCTGCGGTGATGGTGGCTCCTCCCACAGCTGCCGCATACTCAAAGATCCCTTCAGTAGCCGGACAGTCGTAACCTGTCGGTAAGAGTCCGTGTGTCAGACACAAGAGGCCGTTTCCTCTGGGGGAAGCACATTCTCTTTGTTTTGAGCCACCTCTCTTTAAACGCTGCTCTAACTTTCTGTTTCAGGCACAATGAAAAAGCCACGGCACAAAATCCTCACAACAGATATCAGAGTTGGACTCACACAGCAGATTTAGGGGGCTTAAGTAGGGAAAAAAAAAAATGTATTGGGTTTGCGTGGCAAGGTTTTTGTAATGGGGGCAGGGGTACAGGGGTGGCTTCTGTAAGAAGACACCAGGAGTTGCCCCCATGTCAGACAGAGATGGCTCCAAGACATATCTGCCGCTGACCAAGGCTGAGCCCATCAGGAATGCTCGTGGAGCCTCTGTGGTAACATACTGAAGAAAGGATAAAAAATGCTGCGCAGCAGCCAGAGAAAGGAGCGAGAACATGTGAGAGAAGTAGCTCTGCAAACCCCAAGGTCAATGCAGAAGGAGGGCAGGAGGTGCTCCAGGTGACAAAGCAGCGGTTCCCCTGCTGCACGTGGAGCAGACCATGGTGAGGCAGGCTGTCCCTGCAGCCGTGGGGGCCTATGGGGGAGCAGATCCCCACGTGCAGCTCAGGGATGACCCCACACCAGAGCAGGGGGCTGCCCGGAGGAGGCTGTGACCCCATGTGGAGCAGTCTCCTGGCAGGACCGGGGCCCGCGGAGAGGGGAGCCAATGCCGGAGCAGGTTTGCTGGCAGGACTTGTGACCCCACGGGGGGACCCACGATGGAACAGTCTGTTGCTGAAGGGCTGCACCCCATGGAAGGGCCCCATGCTGGAGCAGCTCATGAAGAACTGCAGCCTGTGGGAAGGACTCACGTTGGAGAAGTTTGTGGAGGACTGTCTCCTGTGGGAGGGACTCCACGCTGGAGCAGAAGGGTGTGAAGAGGAAGGAGCAGCAGAGACAACACGTGATGAACTGACCGCAGCCCCCATTCCCCATCCCCTTGCACTACTCAGGGGTGAGGTAGGCAGAAGAGCTGGGAGTGAAGTTGAGTCCGGGAAGGTGGGTGGATGAGGGGAAGGTGATTTTAGCTCTGGTTTCAATTCTCACTATCTTACTCTGTTATTAATTGGCAATAAACTGAATCAATTTCCCCAAGTCAAGTGTTTTGCCCATGACAGTAACTGGTAAGTGATCTCCTTGTCCTTATCTCGGCCCATGATCTTTTCCATCGTATTTTCTCCTCTACCCTACTGAGGCGGGGGAGAGACCGAGCATGTTGGTGGGCACCTGACAGCCAGTCAAGGTTAACCCACCACAAAAATCAACTATCCAAATGCTTTCTTGCACTCAGATCATTCACAGATGGGTCTTGAACCAACTTGTGATCGGTGTTCCTGGCTAGCCTGACCTACTGGTCCCTCATACCAACCTTGCAGAAACACTCTTACTTCTCTGGTTGCTCTACCAGTAAAGCCCTGACACGGTCACTGATGTATCTACCCCCTAAAAACAGACATCCACAAAGGAGACAGGCCTAGGGATGCTGCAGGTCTATAGCTAGGTCTATACCTATTCCTAATAATATACCTAATAGGTCTATACCTATTCCTACAGCAGCCTCCCTGGAACTGTTACCCAGCAAGGCATGACCCCAGAGCTGCTCCTCTGCTTGCAGACAGATCACCTTCAGAAATGTAAACGGCAGATCTAGGGGAGACTCATGAGAACAGCACAGAATCTGCACCACTGCTTCAGTGTGGGGTCACTCCTCCTGATTCTGAGGCTAAGACAGTACCCACAGCTACCTTGCCTCCTTTAACTACTGCGCTGCTCAGGTTAAGTCTAAGCAGGCAAGAGCCCTCTGCTCAAGATGTAAGTAAAGTCACCAGGCAAACAGCAGCTGCTCTGGTCTCTGGCTGTAGCTTCAGGCCGCTGTTCACACATGCCCTCCACCACAGCAGGCTTGCGGCAGCTAGTCTCAGCTCTGTTCCAAGTGCAGCATGTCAGGGCCTTCTGTCCTGTCTGAGACCCTGAAAGCAGCAGCAAAAGGCACTGACTCCAGTATGCAAGGAACAGGCTGAGCTCACAGCAGCGTGAGGCTGACAGTACCCTCTGTGGGCAACAGTGAAAACGCCAGCCTGACAGGTGACCGCTGGCTGATGGGGGTCAGCAGCACCCCAGCAAAGAGTGTTTCCCTCTGCAAACAGCCCAGCAGCCCACCTGAGCTCACCCCTCTGTCTAACCTCAGCTCCAGCAAAAAGCATCCTGGACCTGATACTCAGTTAATCTCTCACTGAAGATACACATCCTTACCCAGTCCATACTCCACGGACTCCGGATGGTCATCATCCCCCTCCTCACTGACCTTCTGCAGGTGCTGCAAGTAGGCATCTGTGTGGAAGCTCGCCATCTCCTCCATGGAGGCCACTTTTGGCTTGACTATCCTAGGCAGAGACGAGGAAGGGAGCATGTCAGGACAAGGGACTCTAGGCATTCCAGCCGAACCCTGGCTTTAACCTCCTCTAGACTAGGAGACTTCTTTTGGAAGTTACTGTTGAGAAAGCAAACAAAACCCCCTACTCCTCTCGTACCGGACTGTCACTTTCAGTGAGAAAGCCACTCAGCTGAGCTGCAGTAGGCCTTTCCCTCAGCTTGGCACTGTTTGTTGTGCCATCCCCAAGTAGGAACATCTGTAGGTGCTGCCTGCATTAACCTTTCCACTTTGCTTCAAGGTTTTTTCCCTTTCCTGCGTGTTCTCCCAGTTTGAGCAATATCCAGCAGATCCAACACTCTGGTTACACACAGAGGAGCGAAAATGTCCAGGCCCAGCCCAGTGCTGTGGCAGGACACCAGCCCACTGGGGCAAGAGCTGAGCAGCACCTCTTGCATGCTCTTAACTATGCCTACATCGAAAGCAGAGACCGTCTCTGTCCTAAGCAACACACATATGACCTTTCCCAGGTTTGGGTGCTTTGCAATCTGCTTAAACAAATCTTGAGACACTTTGAAGCCCTCTCCAAACCTCATACTCTGGGGTGCATGCCAGCAATGCAGTACAGCCCTGTTGCTACTGGAAGAATGTGAGAAGATCCCAGCTCGCCCAGGTGCCAGGAAATTCTCACCCCATGCTAGGGTGAACAGCCCTTTAGGTCTGCCTTTGTAATGGTACCTGCAGCCATTTCCCAAGCACACTCTACCAAAATGATCAGAGAGAAAAAAAACCTTTAAAAGAAAAGTCCCAATGGGCCTTTCTGGCCCTGCTG